GGAGGCTTAGAAGTGAGCCTCCGGAACCTGCCACCTCGGCAGCCCTCAAACCCTTCTCGGCAGCTGGCAGGCCAGCCAGCAACGTTAGGCATTTTGGACCGCCCCCAAACCGTTCTCGGCAGCTGGCAGGCCTGCCTCTTCTCTTCGCCTGTTCCAGGCCTGCCTCTTCTGTTCTTATGGACTTCCGAAAGCAACGTTAAGCATTTTGGCCCGGCTTCAAACCCTTCCCAGCGCCTTTGGCCTACTCCTGCGTCGCAGCCTTGCCTGCGTCAGGCGGGAGCCTGGGGAGGGAGCCTCTGGAACGTGCAGCCCGTGCACTGCAGCCTTAGAACTGAGCCTCCGGAACCTGCCACCTCGGCAGATGGCAAGGTTCAAATCAACAAGAAGCGAAGGGTGGACGCCAAGTTTGTCAAGTTCCCGGATGACAGAGAACCGCATGATGTTGTCCCAGCTTTGCCGGCTGATGTTGCGGGGATGGATGACGGGGTCTTGAGAAATTCAGACCAAAGAAGGCTTGGCAAGGAGACAGAGAATGGAGAACAGAAGGCTGATGGTAAGAGCAAGAGCAAACCAAAAGGCAAAGGGAAATCAAAGGCTCAGAAGCCAAAGAAGAGTCCAAAGAAAGAACAGAAGCCAAAGAACCCTCCCAAAGCCAAAGACCAGCAGAAGAGAAAGACAGCTGAAGAGATGGATGGGAAACCACCAGCCAAAGTTTCTCAGAAGTCTGCCCGTCTTGTCACTGAGGAGGAGATCACGCAGTACAAGCAGAATCTCTGGTGGTTGTTCAATAAATTGTTTGTTTCCATGTAAGGTGGACTTTAGTACTGAGTACAAGGTTATCTTGCAATAAGTTTTTCAGATTTCCAAATATCTTGCAGCATGTGAGGAAGATGAGGCAGAATCCAAATTTTCAAGTTGTTCCCTATTGGACGCGTCTTCAAGTTGGGGTGAAGGTAAAGGTGAAGGGCGGCTCTGGCAAGCAGGTGTGGGCTACTACCTCTTTCACGCCAGCATCTTTTCCACAGAAGATGGAGCTGGCAAATTTGGTGGACACTTGCTTTTGCTTGTTCAGAAACGGTTGGACTTTTGGAATGTGTGTAATGGACTGTGTAGCCTGTGTAGCTATGTTAGTTTGAAGTTCGACTGAATGCATTGAGTTTGAGACCACAAAAAAAAAGACAATTAAGGTCGACTATTTGGACTCACCGTTAGGCAGTGCTGAGGGCGTTGAAGACTTTGTACGCGAGACCTTGGGCAATTGGGCGCTTGCGAGCTCGAGAGCCCGTGAGAGTGCATAGGGTCTTGTGAGGCCTTTGATCTTGCATAGCAAGGTATCTGGCTGAGTTTGTAAGGGGCTGGGGTGTGGCGACTACAAGTGAACATGCGTGGGTTGGAGTATCTATATATATATATATTTTTTTGAAGATATGGCACTGCAATGGTTCTGCATCTTTTGTTGAGCTGCTCACGCGTGCAAGGTGTTGCCAGTACATTGGGGTCAAGTCATGGTATAAAACCATGAGAACGCAATTCCAACATGATCAAAAATGAACACAACGCTCGAGCTGTGTTAGTCAATGTGTTGTTATGTGCAGAAGGATAGCGGCCTCACCAGGCCACAAAGCATTTTTTCTGTTGAAATACTTGTCCTTTGTTCTGAGGCCAATATGCCTCGAGGATGCAAACGTCGGTGGCAGAGCTCTGATTCTGAAGGTGCCAACCCGCATCCTTGTGATTGTTTAAGAAATCTGCTGCAAGATTGAGCTGTGTGAAGATTTGTTGCTATGAGTTGTTCTCAGATTTGTTCAGGCCTCCAGTTTCAGGTAGCTGAAACACAAAGCACCCGAACCTTTGCTCACATACGCATGAGCGTGTAAGCATACAGCCTCATGCCAGCTCAAGCCATGAACTGCTGGTCCTTGTGCTCTGTGATCCCACGCTTGTATAGGGCCAATGTCCCATATGCCTCTTGGGCCCAATCCGTTGTTTAGGAATCAACCATCTTGCAACCTGCGCGCTTGAAGCTTTTGCAAGACATATATTCATATTGAGCACTTGTAAACAAAGACGGTGTCAGGAGTCAGCAGTGTCATCCCTCTGTTGTTTGTTTCTTTTGCTGGCTTAGGCCCTTGCTGTCATTGTCATTTTCATCTTGAGCACTGAAGGAGTTGATCTCCAATGGGTTTCTCGTCCTACCTGCACATGCCTGTTTGTGTTGGAGCTTCCTGTAGGCTTGGTGAAGGATTCAGCTCAATTAGTCTGCTGAGGCGTTT